AGGGGTGCAGTAAAAACATGTTCATCATTCAAATAAGCTTTAGCTGTTTCACGATCTAATATTACCTTCATACCTTTCTCACTCAATTTAACCGTTGACATGAGGTTAAAATTGAAATCAGGAACGTACAGTGCGTCCGTCACTGCCAATTCGTTCCCTCCACACTCTGAGTTAGCACTCAAATCTACCGTTCCATAACCTTTCACCTCAGCGGTGTCTTTCCCCATGGAAATCTCACCCTCACACAATTTCAGGTTAGAAAACATGCTCTTATCATTACAAATATGGTCTGTGGCAGCACAATCTACTTTCCATTCAGTTGAACATATTTTAGGAGATGCTAACGCGCATGAGATACACGCAAACTTTTTCTTATTGGTTTTATCGCAGTTATCCCTACTTCTGGAGCCGTCTTGTGACGAGTAAGTTTCAACGTCGGGATTTTTAGCACTAGTGGTACAATCATTGGCCCAATGACCCATTTCTTTACATCTGTAACATTTAATTTGAGGACAAAATTTGGAAATATGACCTGACTCACCACAAACATAACATTTGCCGTCACCTGCATTTCGTTGATTTCTTTCAGTGGCGTTCCCACTGGAATTCTGTCTACGATTTCCACCACGCTTGTTCACCAAAGCCACCGTCTCGTCAGATTTGCGTTGCTCGTTTCCTTCCTCCAGTAGTCTGGACTTCACCAACCTTACAGTCAAGTTTTCTTCTTTCCCCAGTTGCTCGATCAAGGTTTCGTATTTCTTCAGCGGAAGCCCCAGAAGAATGATTCCTGCCAGTTGCCTATCCGTTAAGTCCCAGCCAGAAGATTTCGCGTGTTGATACTGGCACTGGACCCGTGCGACATATTAATGGATTTCTTCAGAGTCATTAAAGGACATATTGAAGAGAGAGCGTAAGTGTCTCAAGCCTTGCAGAAAGCTTACCTTCGTATGGATTTCTGCTAAAACATTCGAGGCATTTTTCGCCAACGTACAATCAGCTATATCGCTGAGATAACTATCGCTTACGTTCTTGTACAGGAAAGCGATAGCTTTCCGGTTCAGCCGTTGCTGGTCAAGGTTGAGATTAGCAAGTTCCAAGTCATCGAAGCCTGGTTCAATGGCGCACCACTTATTTGCTTGTATGAGTTCGGCCTTTGCCCGAAGAACCCATGCGAAATAGTTTTTGTGAGTTAAACGCGGTATGTTGCTTTCATATTCCGTATCATTATCTGCCATCGTATCGTTCAAGCACAATCTGTTTCAATCCGACAATCGACACAATCCAACTCTTGTTTCAATCCGACAATCGACACAATCCAACGCACGAGGCACGAGGTAGTCCCGGCACAAATCACAATCCATCACAATCTAGACTTTCGTTCAGCAGTGCATGGAAAACCTCTGATCTGGTAACCTTTCATCAAATTTTTCTTTTTTATTAGCGTCCAATACCTAATTTTTGAGAGATAGGATTTCTTATTGATCGGCAGGTCCTCCCTTCTTTTCTTTTTTTCTTGGATCGTTTCGGTTCTGGAATCCATTTATTATGCCTTTTACATTGAATTGTAACTCATTTTTAATGTTTCCTAAAAAGATACATAGACTTCTAATATCTGTTGTGAAGTTTCTGGCAAAATTCAGTTCATTTTCAGTAGAAGGTCCAATCTGTGAAAGGAATTCAATAATTTTGTCAGTTGGCAGGGTAAAATTTGAGTATACCTTTCTAAAATCAGTCAATTTACTCTCTATTGTCTTCTTTTCTCCAGGGCTCAATGGATTTGTTAGCAATATGTTTCCACTCTCGCCAGTGAGCTTCCCTTCTTGTGAAAATGTGGCCACGCCCCAAGACCCAACGTCTCCGTTCTGATTAAATTTCAAACCGATGCACACAACTGCTTCCATCGTACCAAAGAAATGTTTTTGCAGGTACTTCACTTTGCACTCGTAAACTGGATGTTCAGGATTTTCCATCATTTTTGGTTCGAAAATGTACATTTTATTGTTGATGGGAAGTGTGATATCTGCTCGGCCTTTATTTGTTGCATCTTCGATTAAAGGTTTACCCACATTTTTATAGGTGCTAAAATGGAATGCAAGGTACATGGTGAATTGGAACCATGCTTCAAGGCCTTTTCTCTGATTCACATTGAGATAGTATGGAATTAGACTATGGAATGAATTTAGTTTGGAAATGAAAGATTCCCAGCGAGATAAATCAAGGGCTTTTACCAACGAGTTTACCCTTTTTGCCATGGCTACCGGACCTTCGCCTGTGCAAGAGAAATAAAAACGCTCAGCATAATCTTGTTTCAGCTCTAGATTAGAGAATCTTAAAGTGAAATATTTAGTCTCATTATTATAGTTACTGATGCTTAAGTAACCGCTGTGAAACAGAAGAGCTTTTAAGGCTGTAGGACTTGTCGAATCAGCAAAGTTGATTTTCCCTGTGAGTTCTGCGAGATTAGCAGTTATTTTCTGTCCTTCATCAGATTCATCAGATTCTTCACTGAGCGGGGAACTTACAAATAACCTGAGAGCCTCCGGTTTGAATTGTTTCAGTCTACTGACAAGGAATTGACTGGCTCCTCCTGTATTACTGTAACAATGTACATCACCGCCGGAACGAAAATAACCGATGACAGAGATTGGACTGAATAAAGACTCGTTTTTCGAGGTGAATCGAAATCCGTCATGCCATTTAGCCATTTCCTTCAGGATGTCCTCTTTGCTCTTCCCTCTTCCCACGGCAACTTTCTCGATAAAAACCCCAAAATATTGCGACAATTCGTTTCGGGTAAAACCCACGATGCCAGAATATTCGGGGTCCATCGTGATATCAATTGCCGCGTTCGACCCTGAAAAAAAGTCCGAGAGTGAAATCCGCGTGATGCCAGTTGTAAAACAGAAGCGTATTTTTGCAGCTACGCTTTTCAGGGTCTTGAAGAAAGACTGCAAACTTCTTAAAATCTGGCCGGCTAATTCCTCATTCACTGCAATACTGGCTGTGTATGGTGAATCATATTCATCAATTAAAACTACAACCGTTTGATTATTATACTTTTTATACAAAGCCAAAATCAATTGTTCAATACCATCTTCAATATACTTCGCATTTAGATCAATATCATACATTTTTGCTATATTACGGAATTTCAAGACCAGGCCATCCTCAAAGCGAGCTAATGAATGAACAGCATTAAGTCCACCGGAAAAATCAAGTCTAATTACCGCATGTTTAGGCCAATTAGAACCAAGATATTGTGAATAGATATAGGTACCTTGGAATAAGTTTTCGTCACCTGTAAAGAATTCCTCCAAGACGCTGACTAACAGAGTTTTCCCGAACCGCCGGGGGCGCGATAAGAACCAGAACACTTGTGTCTCATTTTCGTTGATCATTTTGTACAAGTAGTCTGTCTTGTCTATGTAGCAATTTTTTTTTTTCATTAATATCTCAAGGGTTGTATCGCTTACCGCTGGCAAGAAATGACAATGATTTTCAATTATCACTGGTTTGACTGTGAAGGAAGAAGGAGAATCTCTCGAATTCTCTTTAGGGGACGAAGTAAACGACGCGGCAGAATACACAACGATGATGAACGCGACAAAAAAAAATGTAAAACGTTCAAAATCCATTTTGGACCAAAAAGTTGTAGATACTTTAAAATTTAATAGGTAGCTTTGTATTTCACAAAGGTGTTCGAGCGATATTATGACTACACTGCTCAGAATATGACTGAATAAATCTTTTTTCAGTGACGCGAAGTAACTAAAGATACGTACTGGCGACGAGTCCCGGCTCAGCGTTATCTAATTTTAAGTGATGACTCAGAACTGTTCGCGGACGCGCACACACACCCACCCTCCCTCACACATACACACACACACACACACACCCTAACATTGGGTTTGGTTATTATCGATCGAGTCCTTCTCTCGCGGCCCCGTGCCGTGCGGTTCATAAGATTGCGCACATCCTATCTTCTTCTTCTTCACTGATTGTAGCGTAATCTCTCAGAAAAAAACGGAATTCGTTCTCAGTAATGCGATATCTAGAGATACGAGTGGATTCGAGCGCATAGAGCCTATTTTTCCTCAGAACTGGCAGCTCATACTGGCTGAATTCATACTGATTATTGCCGGCTTCAATGGCTAAAAAAAACTCTTAGAGTTAATTCCTCAATTCAGAGGTTCCTGGAGTAAGGAAATAAACATCTAGGTACCTGGGTGCTTTCAAATAAGCGTCTAATCTGGTGTCCCCAGCTGTTTTAATCGTCATAATCTGAGAACCATGAGCAGAGTAAATTTTTTTCTCATTTTCCAAACTATTGTTGACTATTACATGCTATTTTCCACTTTCTTTGGACTAAAATACAAATTTAGCACAATTTTTAATGTGCAGATTGCCTTCATTTGTCCCAAATTTGCGTGTCCCCCGTGCCCGGTTCTTGACTTTAAATCGATATTGCAGCATAGCTAGAGCGATTACTTGGGAAAACTTTAGCGGAGATTAAAGGTATTGATTTTGAATTTGAGAAAGAATAGTATAAAACACGTTTTACTATTTCAAAAACTTTTCTCACGCGTTTAAATCTTTGTCCCCGGCAACAGTGCGCGTGACTTGGCAACGGTGTCACGGGTTTTGAATAATTTCCGCTGCGTAGCGCTTTCGTCAGTGTCATCTGTTTATGTTGCATTGACGTATAATACAATCTAGACCGCGCATTACGAAATTCAAGCGAGACGATAGGCAACCCAGCAACACACAGCAAGTGTACCGGCGAGACAATGGTGGAATTCGTGGAAATGCCAGTCTTGCCAGTGCCGTTGCCTGATACGGGTACACTTAGCTCGTATATCCGGCGGTATCAACTAGGCTGAAGGCGCGTCTTTACCCCCCTAGCTGTCTTACCTTCCCCGCCTAAAGTCGGGCCCAATGCGCGGTCTAGATTGTATTATACGTCAATGTTATGTTGTGACATGACAAGGTCATAGAATAAAGAGACTAACGTCAACAGAAGCGAAAGCCCCCGCCATTTTCATGTCAACGAAGCATACCGAAAGGAGGCTGTTTCAATAAGTACTGTTTACGTTTGCGGTTTTGGAGAGGTCGAATAATAACGGATACATACGTTTTAAGGAATTGTAAGAGTTTTCTTTTAACTTACTTATCGTTAAACCGAAGAAGTACTGTAAATTCGCTTAAAATTTAATGTTTTTTCCCACTTTTATATTTGTAGGTAACCTCGAAATTGGTTTCAATCTGCGCAGAAAAATGTTAACATTGGTTCTTACGGAGCTTTCGCTTCTGTTGACGTAGTCTATTTATTCTATGACAAGGTTGTTAATATGTTGTAGTTTGCTGGAAAGACGAAGATTTTAAAGTTTTGTGCCCTTAAAGAGGAGAAAAGGTGCTAAAGCTAATGTGAAACACGGTAGGTAACAGCTCGTAAAGCATACATGTCCACATTTGTTTCAGCTCTTAAATACCCTCCAAGTGTTAATTCATGAAAACCTTGATATTTTTCTGATTATTGAGGTTGGGTTAGCCACACTTTACGAGTTATAAGCATCATATTTGTCTTAATTACCAAGACAAGTTTAAAATAAAGCTTATGTCCACTCGGTCCCATGTCCACTCGGTCCCGTGTCCACTCGGTCCCACAATGGGACAGAGTGGACAAAGTAGAACAGAGCTCATTATGTCCACCTTGTCCGTCTGATGGAAGCTTAATTCAAATGAACTCGTAAGTAATTAATAATCCTTAAAGGGGGCCTTGAGTTGAAATGGAGATGTTGAAATGATTTAGTGATAGATTTACATTAATTCTGTACTTAATTACACTGATAAATGTGTGATAATATCAGCTTATTCTTTACCTAACATTTCTAACCCAACATTTGATCAAACCATCAGGGGAACCCTGATAAATAAGTGCCTCTCGGAAGTTTTGTTTCGATAATTGTTTGTTTGTGTAAAGTGAAGCATAATCTGAAAATATTTGAGTAAGTAAACTCTACACAAATCATCCTTTTTTCGAGAATTTTTATCAGTTAGAGGAAAATTTAGAAAATTGTAATAAGGAGACAATTAACGTCCCTGAGAACTTGATACATACATGATGGAGCTATTGTTACCCACACAATATACCCTCATACTCATTTGTTTGCAATATTAACTCCATTTGAGTTGAAACAAATTTCACAAATCATCCCACAGTTTCATCGATAAGGACCCAACGCATGTTTCTAGTCTAATGTATCACTGGGACTCATCACTTTTTGTCCGGAGTCCTGACGCCCGATTTGTTCTCTTTTTTACCTAATTTCTTTGGTATGAAATGATAACATGCATTTTATAGGAATGCTATTGCAATGACATGAATTAAAATATTCTTTCTCATCTGACTGTCACTGGTCAATCAATGAATCCGCTGGCAAGATGGGATGATGAGAGTATCACAGTTGAACATTCAAAGGTAACTTTATGCGAAGGATGTGTGAAACGTAAGATTTCAGAGCCTGCCACTGAGTTATGAAATTTTTTCTCGTTACAAAAAATGGAAAGTTCCCAGTTATTTAGCTCACTGTTAATGCATTCCAACAGGTCCTAAGATATCTTGGTTGCCTGAAATAGCAGAAAAGTCTACAGCTAGCATGATTTGCAGAAGCCAAGGACGTGATTTACCTATTTGAAATTCTGGAGATTCAACCTACATTTTCAAGAAGTAAGGAAAGCTGCCATATCTGCAGCTAAGCATCTCTGACACCTTTTCTAATAGAAGAATCGTGGTGGGCTACTCAAATTTTTAACAAGTAGGTACACAATTTTATTACATAACCCTTTCTTACACCTGAAACAAATTTTGACCTACTAAAGGTTTGATACAAACTCCACAGTTTTTTTCATTTGTGGACGTGTGACATGGATAGTTGATTCGGGCAAAAAAATTAAGGATGTGATTTTGACTGAAAATTCTCTGCAAGTCTTAAATAATAAGTTACGAGCAGTCTGGTTCATTTATTTTAAAAGAATCCTGACAAATTCATGTTCTACTTTGATTATAGAATAAGAGGTGAGCTGAATATTTTATTTATTAATAACCCCTCACATGAACTGATCATGAGCCCACTGTAGCGTCATTTTAAGGAGATGGGTTGTTTTTACGAGTCAGGTAAAACAATCGGTTGAAGGATATTGACAGAAAACTCTTTGTAGTGGAAACAGAATAAGTTACAAGTGGTTTGTTTAACTTTATGCTAGAGGACGTACAACTGCATCTTATTTCAGCAATTCTGTGCCCTAAGCATTGCAGATCAGATTTTTAAGTAGCTCCTCTAGAAAAACTGTTTTTTTTTAAAAAAAGAATTTCAACTGCTTACCGTAAAGCGGCATGAGATTTACTAGCATTTTCAATTCCCAAATGTTTATAACTGCATTCCTAAATACTCAGATATTGCTGATAATAGATAATGCTGCTTGATTATGTCAAAAAAGGTGAGCTGAATGTTTCGTTTACCTAGTTTTATACTTTTTTATTTTTTAATTTGTGATTGATCACTAGGAAGCAAAATTTTTCAAAAAGATTCAACCTAAGAAGGGGGTAATGCGTTATCATAAGACATCTTACAATAATTGGGGCTTTTCCTTGTTTTTTTTTAATTTTCTATAATTTTGAGACAAATATCAACAGAAAACAAAATTTTTGGTTTATTTTTCTCTCTTCACAACTAAGTGTCAGAATTATACACCTAACAACTTTAATTAATACAAAAGTATTGCCTAAAATTTTATATAGAACTTTGTTTGTCTGAACTTGAACTGAAGTTGAAAGTTTAAATAATTTAATTTAATATTTTTACAAGACTTTCCCTTCATCTCTCTCTCTTTTTCTGTGCTTCTCTTTATCTCCATCTATCTTTTTCTCCTCTTGGAATACCTTAAAAAATGGACATGTTGAATGATAATAAATCATTATTATAATTGAATTATAATTTGCATTTATCTGAAACCTCATTTAATTAATTCTATATTTTTGGTTTCAGAAGATTTGGAGTGCAGATTCCTTCCAGTTAAAGGCGCTTCGTCGAAAGTGTTAACATCTCATGCTTATGTTGAAATTATCATGAAGTCCGGATGCCTTTTTTATTTTAGTTTGTAATATTTTATATACTGTCATAAACCATGTAAAAATCAAATGAAAATTAAATAATTTCAAAGTTTCATGTTCCAAAATTTCTTATGGTTTTATTTCTTTTTTTCTCCTCTGTAGTCTTTGCACTACATTTATTTCTTTCCCAATTCGTTCAAGACCAAGATACGATTTAACATAATTTAATAGACACAATTCAGAAAATCCTGAAATGCGGAGCTGAAATATTACCGCATTCAAAAGTCATACCAGGAGAGAAGGTGTCATCAGGGCTGCTGCAAGGAGAACTAAGAGAGCAAGCACGTTTCTCATTGGAATGCCTCCACCCACTAAAATTTGCCAGCTATTTTAAGGAGAAGGAAATCCTCTCTCCAAAATATTTTTTATGAAGTAACAACTGTCCTAATACTAACTATAACTCCTTCCTAATTGAGACGAAAAAGGAGAAAAATTATAGTTGGTCGAAGCTTTTGTTTCCCTTATCTTATTTATTTATCTTGGTATTTAGGTTCATTTTTATTTCTTTCATTTTCTTTGGCATTATTCGCAATTGCTCACCAATCAGACAATGAATGGCTAATCAGTAAACTAACACAAATAGTTTTTTTTTATATTATTGGAATGAAATTTTATCCCTTGACAGGTAAATAGTTGCTGGACGTCAAATAAAACTGCAGGCATCGGCACGCAGCATTCTGAACTAGATTGTTAGGGTAAAGGTAAATCATGGAATCAGAGGCCTCACTCGGAATTCCTTCAGTTCGTTGAGTATGCAATTTCATCTCTTGAGAGTTAAAAAAGTTCCTTGAGGTAAAAGAAAACTTGTGATAGCTGCGCAGCGCACGCGGCACCCTCAGCTAGCCTGATTTCTGAGGGATGCAACACGGCTTGCGTTTGCTAGAGCGTAGCGATGTTTTCTTACAAAGATGTTACGAATGCGACAAAATCAGCAAAAGTTGGACAGTTTTCAAATTTTTGCATCAAGCTACAAGACTGGAGTGGATTGCGTTCCGAAAGCTGTGGCGTCCAAAGGAGACCAGGCTCTAAACTGTTGAAGCTAGGATTACTGGTTCCATTAAAAACTCCTTCATTTCGCGGGGTATGCTAAATGGTCTCCGGGGAATTGTAATTTTTGTTGCTTGAGGTAGAAAAAAACTTCAATTTTTTATCCACTTCATATTGCAATTTTCTCTAAACTTGGGCTTTCTTCCCTGTCGAGGAAGGTCAGTGCGCACTCAGACCGGAAGAAATGTCCCAAAGTAGCAAACTCCATCATGCGATTAATCAATTTTTCTCTTATTTTCTCTATTCCGCAAGATGTATAATGATTCAATTTAAAAAAATCATGTTTTGGTATAGTGTTCAACAATGTTACAATGAAAATTTAAGACAATTTTCAATGAGAGATGTTATATTTGATTTTTAAGACGAAAATTGGAGAAGTCAGACAAAATTAGAGCAAATTGATGGAAGTGATACACTTGACGGTCAAAATTCGGGTTTAAGCCCAACCATTGAGCTTGACGAGCTATATTACCTGATTCTACACCTAATGATAGTCAAAATAAAGTTCGGTTTACCCAAAAATTCACAAAAAATTTTTGGGATGAAATGGGACCTGAAATTAGACCCTTATTTGAATTCACCCACCTATGGGTTGAGGGGTTAACTCTGAGAGTCTCGAGGAACCGTTTTTGCACCTTAAACTTTTAGATTTCTGGAAAAAATAGACTACTATATTTTGACTCAAAAAATCAATCGACAAAAGCCGTGGATAGATCGACAAACCTGTGAGTCTATCGACAAACCTGTGAATCGATCGACAAACCTATGAGTCGATCGACAAACCTATGAGTCGATCGACAAACCTATGAGTCGATCGACAAACCCGTGAATCGATCGACCAAGTTGTGAATCGATCGAATTACGTCGATTGGTTCACGTTTTGGTTTTTCGATCGATTCATGTCGATTGACTAGATACCGGTTTTCCTTTTAATTGTCAATCATTTCTCGTCTATCGATCCACATTTTTTGTCGATCGAATCGACACCCGTTTTTTAGTAATTTGTCCATCGATTGGTGTCGATCGACGTTTTTATTTTTCGGTCGATTTTTGTCGATCGAATCCACACCCTCCTATAAAAAAGCGCGTACAGCCATTTTCGCGGCCCAGAGCAGCTGTCCGATCAACGAAAATTCGAGAAATTGACGGCGGACAGAGCGGAAAAAATCCACGGATTCCGCTCCTAAGGTGCCGTGCTCTGAAGCTACGGAACCTTAGGCGCGTCTGGACGCGGCGTCCTGGACGCAGCGTCTAGACGCCGATAAATCTGTCTAATGATTTTTGCGCGGGGACGGCACCTTAGCGGCGAAGAGACGCTGCGGAAAACGCCGATCGAGGACGCTCCGATCTGTCGCGAACAGATCGGAGCGAAGACGCCGAGAAATTCCGCTCAGTCCGCTGCCTTTCCTACCGATTTTTGAATGTGTTTAGTTCGACAAACCCACGAATCGATCACAAAGGCCGTGAATTGATCGACAAAAGCCGCGAATCGATCGAAAATTCCGAGAATCGATCGACAAGAGCCGTGGATCGACCGACCCACCCGTGAATCAATCGACAAAAGCCATGGATAGATCGACAAACCTGTGAGTCTATCGACAAACCTGTGAATCGATCGACAAACCTATGAGTCGATCGACAAACCTGCGAATCGATCAACAAACCTATGAGTCGATCGACAAACCTGTGAGTTGATCGACAAACCCGTGAATCGATCGACCAAGTTGTGAATCGATCGATTTACGTCGATTGGTTCACGTTTTGGTTTTTCTATCGATTCATGTCGATTGACTAGATACCGGTTTTCCTTTTAGTTGTCAATCATTTCTCGTCTATCGATCCACATTTTTTGTCGATCGAATCGACACCCGTTTTTTAGTAATTTGTCCATCGATTGGTGTCGATCGATTCACGTTTTTATTTTTCGGTCGATTTTTGTCGATCGAATCCACACCCTCCTAAAAAAAAAGCGCGTACAGCCATTTTCGCGGCCCAGAGCATACTGTCCGATCAACGAAAATTCGAGAAATTGACGGCGGACAGAGCGGAAAAAATCCACGGATTCCGCTCCTAAGGTGCCGTGCTCTAAAATGTGAGCGTCTTCTCGCCCTCGACTCGGTAGCAGCATTTTCCGCCGGCGTCCAGGACGCCGCGTCCAGACGCGCCTAAGGTTCCGTAGCAAATGTGAGCGTCTTCTCGCCCTCGACTCGGTAGCAGCATTTTCCGCCGGCGTCCAGGACGCCGCGTCCAGACGCGCCTAAGGTTCCGTAGCTTTATGCAAGCCCTGTTGACACAAGAAAAAGTTCATGGAACTTTGTGCGAAAGTTAAGTTCCGCCACCCCGTCGACCGCACTGTGTCTGATGCAATGCGTGAAGTATTCATGCAGTCTTGCAGGCGCTGTGCGTCTCACACCGCCGACCGCTGCTGACCGCTTTGTGTTTGATGCAATGCGTGAGGTATTCATGCAGTCTTGTAGGCGCTAGTATGTGTTTCATGCCAACCGCAGTTGGCATCTCCTTTTCGTCTCATCAAGCCCTCGTCACCATTGCTCTCTGCAACGCCACTGCAGGCCGAAATGCGTGTATGGTTTACCTCTTAACTCGACTAATGAAAGTTCCTGTCTCTTTTATCACCGGAGGATGACAAAATTAAAAATTACTATACTTTTGCTCTCGGGAAATGAGAAGTTCTGCCGCCTTTTCTCATTTTTAATTTTTTTTCTGAATCCATTTTTACTTTTCATATAACTGCATTTAAAAAAATTGAAAAATTTGCCGCCATGGGCCGCGGCCCATGTGGCCATTCCCTAAATCCGGCCTTGCATTCACGGTTCGACCGTAAAGACGTCAAAACCTTGTGATTCCAAAAGCTACGTCTCTTTTAAATGAGATATTCACTGATGAATGTATTGGTTCAAAACATTCATTCACGTTATATTCATCTGAAACGTTGTTTATATTTTGGTAAACCACTCTTTGACCCCTCTTTTTTTTTTTTTTTTTTTTTTTTTTTTTTTTTTTTTTTTTTGGAGGGTCTCACATAATTTTATCAACTTCCTTCCCTAAATTTCTGTGACATGGGTCTCAAAACCATCCAACTTTTCTTAGAAAATTATAAAACCTGCGGACGATTTTTTTTAGTTTTAATCTTGAATATCAACTGGAGAATCAAGAGTGCAATATTTTAAGTAAACTACGAAGAATTCAAGAGAAGGAAAGGGGGAAGTCAGCTCAACTAGAGTCCCTTTATACTGAGAGTCAAGACAATTCGGCTCATGGATGTCACAAACGGGAATAAAGATTACAGAAATTGAACGTTTTTCGTAATCTTTGATCGGCCCATTCTCAAATGCCTTTCTCTGTTCCTCCTCTCATTCCGTTTGTTCCTTGCCGAACCCGTAATTCCCTGGTCCACTCCAGATTATAATCTTTGCAATTGGTGAAAATGTAATCTTTATTCCCGTTTGTGACACTGTGGAGGCCTAAAATACGGGAACCAATCAGAAATGGATTCAAATTGTCTTGACTCTCAGTATAAAGGGACTCTAAGCTCAACAAGACGGTCGGATTAGGACACTGTAAACCAAGAAAGTGACTGACTCGGTATTTGCTAACGTGAGTTGGCATCTATTGGAAGAAGCAGGAACTAAAATCACCCGTGGGAGGAGCTGACTTGCTCCGCGTCAAGTGCAGCACCCTAACGGTGAGCTGGACAACTTTACAAGCAGCCCTTGTAAGCCTCCATCCCCCAACGTCGGCGTAAGGGTCCACGGAACGAGTAGCAAAGGTCGACATCGGCAATGGTCGATTCGTGGCGAACGGTCAGAGGTCGATTCGCGAACGGTCGTACGTCGATGCCCGAACGCACCGAACCAATCGAACCTAGTTCACCATTGTGCATTTTCATTTTATTTTACTTTTGTTCTCCCAGTGATCAACTGGAGAGAACTTTCCTTTCACTCTGGGCTATTTAATCAATGTAAAATCTCGAAAAATCTCGATCGCTAGTGAGATTCTCCTCTGATCTCTTGTAAAAAATCGCTTGAAAAAGCGATTTTTTGTATGTGTGAGTGCGCTCCCATAAGATCTGATGTAACCGCTTATTGTATTAGTGTGTATTTTACAGGGGTTTTTCGAGACTACCGATAGTCGCTGTTCGATACGTCGATACGTCGATTCAATTCTAAACCTACCAACCCTTTCCTACAAAATACCCTGTTCCTTCTGAGTTTCCTTAACTTTGCCTTCTTTAACTCCGTTTCTAAATAAACTGTATTAATTATCTGAAGTTCTTTATATCTTAAAGCTTCAATTTCCAATATGAATTTCCTAACTTTTTCACCATTTTCCTTATAAAACAAAATCAATTTACGTATGTACTTTTTACCCTTGTGTTTAGCGCTTGTTTCATTTGTGCGTCAGCTTTGATACAATGGCGGATTGTTTACGTTCATTTTATAGTTGAGCATTTTCCAATTTTTTCCTTTAAATCTCTTCGAAAAAGTCCCAAAATGACTTAGCACTCTTTAAATAAGTAATTCACCCCTTCAACTTAACATTGATGGTACTTTGGATGGTTCCACCTTTTGCAGTGAGAGAAACTGAATTGCCGAGTTTCTGAGCTGGCTATGGCTGGCTCCTTGGTTTGTCCGTGTCCTTCGGTTTGATTTGTGATTTGTGCAACTTCCTTAATGGATAATCTTACTTATCAAAATACTCTTTGACTGTGCGTGGAGTGTAATTTTGTCTTGAGTCTTGACAGCATTAGCACCATGTGAATCAAAATTTCAATCAACTCCATTTTTGCCGCAGGGTAGGGATCCTTTAGCTATCCTACCGCTATCAGAGTGCTGTCGAGAAACTAATCACAACTGTCGGTATGTTCTGTTGAGCAGTTATGTAAATATAAAACGGTTGTATTTGTTAGTCAATTTCTTTTGTATGTGAACAATAACTGAATGTCCAGAATTCCAAACATCTGACTGTATCTCAAGTATATGTCGGAAATATTTATCAAGGTCAGAGTTTGTGAATCCTTGGCAGCAGTTAATGAATTTCCCCTAAGTAACAACTTCGCTCAACAAAGTTTGGTAAGTAAGTACAGCTCAGATCCACCATCGTACACATATAATTACATATTAGTTTAAACTCAGTGCGAGTAATGTTTTGAGGGTAAAGTGTTCTCTATTCTCCAACATTTATTAGCAGGGGTGCGAATTGCGCGGAGGCTGAGAGGTACTTGTTATTTTTCTAGATTTTTCAGATTTGCAATTTTTGTGGAATACTTACTGTGACTTTGGCACACATTCTAAAATTAACAAGAAATTCCACAAAAGTTTGATCAGCGCGTCGTGCTGACCTTCTTGCGAGAACCTAGCCCGAAGCTGAAAATTGCAGAGGCATGAAACAATGTTCATTTTGGTTTGTGAGATTTTCTTATAAACTTGGCATCCTCATATTTGTCCGACTTTTACCAAAATAATCTTGAAATTATCTCTCCCATCACCACATAGCAACAAAATTAGCCTAAACATTCTTGATAAGAGGTGGCATAGTATCCAGAGACCCCTGAGAGTTTTGTATTAAATACTAATGATGCTCCTCTGGCAGAATTAAAAATTGACCATTCTAAACTACATACTCATATCAACAGCTCTTGCTGACAACAACCTGCTACCTTCATCAACTTAATCTGAAGTTTAGAATAATAGATAAGCCGCCAACTAATGTACTATCATTTCCATGCAAACAGTCAACCTTGTATTTATTGAGGAATGATAAATACAGTTTTTACTATGCCTTAGAGTTCTTACCATAATTCTTACCATTTGGAGTCAGGAAATAAAAATAATTGCTTCATTGTTTGCATTTTTATTGGCCAACTAAGTTCACAGTGGAACTTTCGTCTACTTGGTGTTAATGAAGGTAAATATTTATTCTTCTCTTATTTGGATGAGAATTACCTAGGTACATCAAATAGGTATGACATACTGTGACACTGGGTGCCGCTACTAGTTACTCTACTTATATTTCAACGATACTGGAAAAATTCATAACTCAGATAAGGGCGTTATCTTGCAAGCTACAGAGCTAGTAATTAGTCATATTTCGATCCTTTGAGATTCTTTCATCATTCAGAAATAAAAAACTAAATTCAGCTGGAACAGGCACATTTCTAGGAAGGAATGTGACGGATCATTTATATCTAATTTATATCTCATCGTCATCTCATTTATCAAACAATGCTTCTCGTCCTCATCTTGTTCTAATCTTGTTGAGAGCAGGCGAAGATTTGAAATGCGCGCTACAGATTCGATAGTCGCCTGGCAAAAGTGGTACCCGCCTGACGTCACAAAACTTCAAGATGGCAACAAAAATCAAACTGGGACAATAATCAAAGAAAAGGACTGTGGTGGTTACAAAGGAATACCTAAATGATCATTCATTTTTTCGAACCCTTATAATTTAAAAAAATTAATTTGAAGTGAAGTACGTATTTGGAGACTTTACACTTTACTGGGAGAACATCCAATGCCCAGCATGAGCATTGGAAACGTCATTCGTGAACTCAAAATGACCGACTTGTTAATTTTATCGTTTGTTGCAAATGGAGCATTATGTATAGGCTGCTTGTCTTTGCCGTGGACGACACTAAAGACCTCTAAGTTTAAGTAGCTCTCTTAGCAGAACGAGAGCCATAATGGATCAGGAAATTCCATCAATGGTTGTAAATTAAACTAAATTTATGCTTTGTTTCTGACCCTTAAAGTAGATACCTAAGTAAACAGGTCTCGATTTTTAATTTGACCTCGACTGATGAGCAATAAAAGCCTAGCGTCACCATTAATGTCTTCCTTTTCTTCATCAGAGCAAGGCTATGTCCAATAATAGACTTAATTGAAAATGAACTTTGGAGAAACGTTCTCCTCTTAATTTTGCACCATGATTTGAAGAGAAAGGTCTTCAGGATTTTTCCATTCTGATACTTGGAGGGAATTTAAGTTTTTCTAATATCTTTTCTAATAAGACCCAGCTGGGGCGCTAAGTGGCTTTTTTTATTTATTTTTATCTTTTAATGTGATTAGACATACACATCAATGGTGAACCTAGAAAAATTTCCATTGTGCAAGGAATATGGATTGATAGCATCTCAGAATCGGTGCATTACATGCAATTTTTCTTCATGTACTGATCCGTTATGCTTCAAAATAGTAAAAAATTTAAGAACATCTGAAATGATGCAACTGCAGATAGGATTGTGGTTAAGTGATGTCACCTTCATTATGCATCCCCTTAAAATGGAAGGATTTATAAAATGAACTTTAAATTTCTTCAATGAAAGTGAAAAACTCTTATGAAGTTGCGTGTAAAAATCAATGTCTCATTTCTGTGTTTTCAGAAACAAGTTGCGGTGAAAATGCCTAATTTTTTTTTTAATTTCATGGAAAATAAACTTGATTTTTCTCGTCTTTGAAAGTATCATGTCCTACCGCGATGTGCAAAAAGAATGCTCGATAGGTACCTATGTCATAACTTTTTCCATGTTTGAATTAAAATGTTCCGATTAGGACTAGTGTGAGAAGTTCCAGTTGTACTTCCTTGAGGCTGGGCCTCAGCCGGCTCTTTCACTTTTGCAGTCAAGTATACTTAGTGTTTCATCCTCTTATCTTTTTGTGTTCGTGTTTTCAGCACCCTGTCTCTCTTTAGTAGGGAGCCGAGGCACCCTTCTATGACTCAGTCTTGTCACGTTACAGTATGAGGAACTGCGCAAAAGCAGATTGAAGCAAAGGAAACTGTGTCGGTAGTAAATTCTAGGTATCCTACATGAATGTATTTATTTCCAAGTAACTCCTGTGGGTAACAAAACGTTGGCTTCCACATCAAGAATAAAGTTGTCAAAGTAGAGGCTTGAAAGCAACTTACAATGAAGTAGATGTAAAGACCTGTGATATTAAAGCGTATTAAAGGTCATAAGGAACTTTACCATCGAAGAAATCTTCAGTCATGGCGACTATGACCATGGAGCAGAGACGTTTCCCTCGCTGTATGAGAAAATCTGCCATTAAAGTTTTTCAAGAACAAGAAAAGCTACAGTTTCATCTGCATTTTTCATCAACTTGGTTCTCAAGAAACCTTCAAGGATCAGACGCAATGATATGCTCCTTTGGCGTAGTAGCGAGTGGAGACCCAGTTAGCAAGATTGAGCTCCGTCATTTGGATCCATTAGCCCGTACAGGAGCTCGCTCCAATACTCGCGTTATCCACAAAACGTAGCAGTAGATAGAAGATCGAGTTGCCAAGCGGGCTTCTCACAGTCTCCGTCCACAGTCTCCAGCGGCCGATTGGAGACCGAGACGATGAGCGCGCTCCTCACGGCCCCCGTCCACAGTCTCTAGCGGTTGAACGGGAGTGAGTCGGAAACGAGTCAGGCGCGCGCATCTACCCGTATGTGTAGTGCGTTTGGAGCTGCAAAGAAATGCAGGAGTCCGGATGCGCGATGCCGATGCGCTTTCTTCGCAAGTAGCTAGCATGATCCGAGTCCGAGTCTGCGGCCTGCTCATTGTCAGCCCGCGTTTCTCAACCAAGATGTCCGCGCGGCACCTGTTCGTCTTATTCGTACTTCGTCTTGTTCGCTCGTAGACCACGTTGTTGTGTTGTGGTTCAACTCGTGACTTTAAAGTGAGTGCATGTGTCACCGACGCCTATGGAATTGAGTGTGAATACCACTTTTTAAGGTAAGAGTTTTCCTTATTATTTTACACACATTTGCACATTCCTCACCGGTTTTTAATTCTGCTGCTCGGGCAAGAAACCCAGCCGAAATATTTATCTCTGAAGTAGTGATTTTGTGGAAGGACGAAAGAAAGTTTTCCTTGAGCTGAGGTTAACCTCCCCTCCAATCTGTACCATGCTCTGACCTGCTGTTGTTCAAGCAGAGTTCTTACTTACCTCAACTATCTCTGTTCCTGCTCTGAGTCATTTGACTTTAGCATATTTATACTTCTAAGGGTAATAGGGTATACAGGCACGAGCAATTTTCAGCATCCAAGGCTCACCGGAAGGTACATATTACTGTTTATTCTTTACTGCAACATCTAATTTGCTCTTGAGTGCAACACCGATCATTTTTACTGGTTTCTTGGTATCATTCCTGATGAAAGATTCAATTCCCTTACTCTCATTCAGATTTACAGGTTTTCGGAACTGCACTGCTTATAGAAGCTCTCACAAGCTTGGGAATATAGCATCAGACTTCTACGACCAGGTCGGGAGGCTCTTCAAATTAGTCCACTGACTTCTAGTGTGCCACCTGATCTGTCAGTTAGAATTCAATATATTCTAGTGTGAAAGTGAAGAATAGCTGATCCTCAGTTGCCCTCCTGAAGTGAGACTAGGTACTAATTTAGCAAGAACATCATTCAGTTTTAGAAGCTAAATTCCTGCGATTGTGATCTATTTCAATTCTTACATGACTCAACACTTGCTCAAGGGTTTGCGAAGTCTCGCAGAAGTCAACGGAAATGATGATTTTCACAGAGTTTTTAAGTATATGTCAGTTATGAAGTGTGCGATATTTAAATGATGAAAACCGCCGATCTGTTTAACTGAGTATTGGAAACCTAAACATAGCTGAGCTCTGTGTAAGTATTCGATGACTCAAACGTTTTGCTCTGTTGATTCCTCCTCTGGTTTGTATTCCAAATCTGCTCTTTTCTGAAATTTCAGATGTCCCTCTCCAACGTGTCATTCGATGATCCGCTGACATCTGCAAAACTCCCTTTGAAAACGCGGAAGAAGTTCACTGACCTTTCAAAAAGTGGTAAAAGAAAGCGTTTGGCAGCCCTTGCTCAAAATAACTCACCTCTGCAAACATCAAGTTTGATACTCAATAAACAATCATCAGGAGCCCCAATCCCAGAGATATCCAATGAATCATCTCTCAGCTATGATGCTGATGAGGAAAACTCTGATGCTGCTTCTGAAAGATTAAATACATTATCTAATGATGGATTGGACCATCTGAATATTGATGATCACTCAGTACTGTCTGAAGAATGCCATGATGATTCTGATTTTCACTATGACAGTAATGATTCTGATTATGAATCAGCTGAAGAAGATGCATGTAACGACCCCTCAGGTTTGCCAATGGATTCTTGCGAGAAAGCTTTCATGGAATTTGAAGGTAAACTCTCTTTCAACATATTAGAGCTGCTGGTCCGATGGACACTACTGTATAAGGTCAAAATGAATGCTCTCTCTGCCCTCTTAAAAATCCTGAAGAATTGTCCTGCTTTCCAACACATTCCTGGAGACGCTCGCACTCTTTTGAAGACTCCGCTCACAGAAAATGCCACGCCATTTGAAGATGGAGAGTATTTTCATTTTGGTTTGTGGGAAAGTATATCTTCTGAATTAGAAAAACTCCCCAAGTCCACAACTCAAATTAAACTCATCATCAATATCGACGGTTTGCCTCTGTTCAAAAGCTCTGATAGTCAGGTGTGGCCGATATTAGTTTCTATCGTTGGTTCGAACAAAGTCTTCACTATCGGTATCTATTCTGGACAAAGCAAACCAGAAAGCGCTGAATCGTTCCTGAAAGAATTTATTAATGAGCTGGAAACTTTAATACAAACTGGTGCTAAACTCAGTGACGGCCGCATTTTGCCTGTCTCTCTGCATTGTGTTTGCTGTGATGCACCTGCTAAGGCTTTTGTCCTAGGTTGCAAAGGCCACACTGGATATTGGTCTTGCACCAGGTGCACCCAAGAAGGAGAATGGATTGAAGGAAGAATCGTCTTTCCTGTGACAAATTCTGAAAAGCGAACTCATGAAAAGTTCCTGCAAAAAACAGACGTTCATTTTCACCATGAACCCTCAGTATTTGAGCGAATCACCGGTATAAACATGATTTCCAGTTTTTGTCTTGATGTCCAGCACCTTGTTTACCTTGGAGTGATGCGTAAAATGTTGAAGTTATGGATGTGCGGAAAAGCTCCCTTCAAGCTTGGCACTTCCGCTGTGTTACGCTGTACTCAGCAATTGTTTGAACTTCGTAGCTACATACCTGTGGAGTTTTGTCGGAAACCGCGTGATTTTTCCCTTATCAAACGCTGGAAAGCCACTGAACTCCGCCAATTCTTATTGTATACTGGTCCTGTTGTGTTGAAATCGGTGCTGATCAAGTCCAAGTATGAAAACTTTTTGGTGTTATGCGTGGCCATGCGAATTCTCCTGTCTCCCAGGCTTGTTGCCAAAGTTGAGCTGGTCCAGTATGCACGAGAATTGTTGTGTAATTTTGTTGAAAGTTTCAAAATTCTGTACGGCGTCAAATTTTTAACCCACAATTTTCACAACCTTGTGCACCTGGCAGATGATGCAGACAAATTTGGTGCCCTTGAAACCGTCTCTGCTTTTAGATTTGAGAATCATCTGCAATTTTTGAAAAAGATGGTGCGCAAACCAAGTGCAATTCTGTCTCAAATCATTCGCAGAATGGCTGAAATTAAAGTTGCAGCATTGCAGAATACCAGTCATGAAAGTAACGCCCACTCCAAAGAACCAGTGTTGGGCAAGCCCTCCTGTTTAGCAGTTCCATATGATGATGTCTGTGAACCACACTACTCAGAAGCCAATTTTTCAGAGTTTAAAGTATCCACCAATAAAGCCAATCGTTGTGTTGGCACTGTCGATAACAAAATAATCATTGTCGAGGGTTTCTCGTACTCTCCAAGCAGGAAGTGCATGGTTGCCATTGGAAAAACATTCTTGAGGAAATCTGATCTTTTCTCTACTCCATGTAAAAGCTCCCTTGTCGGTATCCATAAAGTTAGCAAGCTATCTGCCGTTCAATGCTGGCCTCTCACAGATATAGTAATGAAGTATGCTCTATTCCCACTCAAAGAAGAATTCGTTGCCGTTTCTCTTCTCCATGCAGATGAAAAATAAATTTTCTCCCTCTCAGCTCTCAGCCACAACATCCGCTGTCATTATAACTGGGTAAGATTTCTGCGATACTTAAGCAAAGGTTGAGCCAATTAGGTGTGACAATGAAGTTTGTGCCAGTATAGGTTTAATCTTAAATGTTTCATTTTTACAATGCATCTGAAGTGCGTATAATTTATACTAGTTATCTTAACCTCTTGTAAGTTGGTTCTTTATCGAACTAGAGAGAAGTATACATTTCCACTGTAAAATTAAAGCCTGGCCCTTTAGTTTTTGTGGTGCTAGGTCTGGCTGGCTTTCATTTCTTCATACTGAATTAGATTTAGATTCTACAGGCACAATTGACGTAAGCAGTCGCTTACTGTCTTTGGCTTTGTAGTCTTACAGCCCTGAAATTTCAATTGAATTTTCTTACATCAAAGGTTTGATTTTTACCTTGCTGGTAAAGTATCGAAATGAAGTTTAACACTGTTTTCCATGTGTAGGTGTACTTTTTGTTATACGTCAGTTATGTCGGTACCTGCCCTTATTCACATAATTTATATAACATTTATGACAAAAAGCTATTGCCTAACTCAGTCCTTTTTAATGTTTCAGATCTGTAACCATGGCTTTCTGTGTCGTTTCCCTGTTGGACCAAGGAGGAGATCTGGTTGTAATCAGAAATAACTGGCTTTCAGAAAGTAAACCTAGTGAATACTGTTACTATCCAAGCCACGTCAAAAACATTTCACCTCTCTTAAAAAAACCTTGTGCACCCACTCCAGAATGGAATGTAGAAAAAATCCGAATCTTTGCAAAGGACCTTAGTAAGTGCAATATTTCATTAGTATCATCATTAGAGGAGTAATTAACAAAGAGAGAAAGACGTGTTGAATTAGTGACCTCAGTCGAGAACATGACTTGAAACGTCTCCATTCTAATAAATGTTTTTTTTCCTACACTGAAATTGAATCCTATAGGAACTTGCAATATCAGTTCGTGGTCCAGGGAAAATAATGTAAAGGACACTCCTGACAAAGTGGGCTATTAATCATATCTCAATAGAATCATACCATCTGCTATATCCAGAACTTGAGGTCTCCATTATTAAATTTGCTTTGAAAGTAAAAACTTTCAGGTGTGCTGAGGAAAAGTCCTATATATTTCCGCATGTATATTTCCTTTATTCATCCACATGCCAAGTTTTTACATCCAATAATACGCTGTGACTTACATGTACTTAAGGATTCCTATTTATTTTTTTTCCGATATTCGATGCCCTTCACTGAATTATGTGACGCCACAACCAACTGACCTAATGGTAATATCTGAATTCTTAGGCTTACCCAAAATACCTTGCAACTCCATGGGACTGTTGTGTCTTTTGTTGTGTGCTGTGGGTCTTTTTGTGTATGATTACCTGCATGGACTGCAGAGGATTTTCCTAAAATTATTCTCTTCCTGTGCTTGTTGCAGGCTCATACGAAGATGCCTTCAAAAAAATGCTCTTTTTTATGGACCATTCAGGCAACTCTAGTAATTCGGACGATGGCAAGAGGAAGGTGCCGAAACCAAGAAGATATCGCTCAGACTCCGAATGCGAAAATCAACCTGCAAAAAAATCAAGGAAAGCCCCTGCTAAAACTTCGCAAGCAGTTTCTCAGGGAGCCTTACCTTCTTTCCCTGATGTGCCCGAAACCTCATTTATAAAAGAACATCGCCCACCTCTTGCTGATCTAACTAGCAATAATCAACTGAGACATGCCCCTACGAATTCCACCACAAATTGTGAAGATGCCATCAACGTAGAGGTTATTATACCAGACATTGATTTGTTTCGTAACACACAAAACTCACAGTTAGAGGATGTGAATGAAATAGATAATGAGGAGACTATTATGGATTTTGTCTCCGATGAGTTTGCATCTCAAAACTTTAGAAACAATAATGATGAGGACAGGGATCTTCTTGGAACATTTCAACAGGTTGTCTCGCCTCTGCAGTCTCTTGAAAATTCGTCAACGCCTGAAGGTGTAGTTTCACACCATCATGAACAACCAGTCATGGCTCAGCCTCCTCCTGAACGGCCCTCTAATTCATTTGTTGGCCCTTATGGTCATACGCAAGTGGCCCCAACGCCCGATGACGTGCGTGCTTCCACAGGGACCCTATCAGAGGAAGAAGTTAGAGAGCTGTACCAACTAAATGCTCAGCAGCTAATGATAAAAATGATCGGTAAGTCTGTTTAAACTCAATCCATTACAGGTATTAATGCTACACTTGGCAGCCATGATAATTGGGTGTAAATGCAAAGGCTGTACCCAATTTTTGCTCTCAGAAGGTCTTCCCCTCCCCCGCCTCCTTTTTATTTATTTTCTTTACTTATGAAAATAATAATGCCCTGTTTTTGGATTTCAGGAAATCAAGTACGAATGTTTAGCAGGATAGAAGCGCTGCAGAAAGACATTAATTACATTAAGGCATCATTCGATTCAAAGGAAAAGCCAGCTGCTAATAATCAAGTGACGCCAGTTGATCTCAAAACAATATATCCTGATCTCCCTTGCAGCTCTGCTGAGTCTTTAGATGGTTTGGATACACATCTTAAATCAAGCTCCCAAGATGAACGAAGAAAATTTGTAAGTATTGCAAGGTTCTAAAATTACCACCAATTTCATTCGACTTCTTTGAAACGCTTGGAATTTTAATGCCAGTGTGCATCATGTGCCCTCGTGAAGTATTTAATTCCTGCATATCAAGGTTCCATCAGTTGACTCAATGGAAATTTTGATTTTTCACACCTGCTTCGGATTTTGCTGTTCACAAATTATTGCATTTTATCAGTCTGTGGAAATCATCAAGATTTTTAGTACAGTTTTCACTGGTAACTGTTGAACCTTGCATCCCTGAATGTACAAGTTAATTTGATACGGTCAGGTTATGATAATTTTTATTATTTTCTACGGAAGATTTGTCCATGATATGTTATCGAAGAGCAATTGAATTTCACTATGAGCTCTGTTCTCTTGGTCTCAACTGCTCTAATTCTGGCAGTGCATTCTTGTCTGTAAGGGTAAGTACCTAAACAAGTTTGAACAGATAACATATTTCTAATCCATGCAAATTTTGTCAGTTCCAGGGCCTTCGACAGATAGGGGGTAGTAATGCTGGTGATATGATTCGAGGAATGCTTCTCCGCATTGTACGGAATGCTGTCGCCAAACAATACAGTTTTCAAGGGAAAGGAGAAGGCAATAAAAAATTTGACAAATATTTAATTGTCAGTATGATGTTAAGTAAGTAATAACTATTTCCCTGCAATAAATTTTCGAAACTTACTTGTGACTAATTGATATTGATGGAGGAACGTGTTCTCTTCTATTTCATAGCAGAAAGAGGATATCAGTATTAAGGTTAATTTTCTCATGCCCTTCAAGCTACTGCCATGATCTTGTTGTATTCCTAAGAGTACATTTTCATCCAGAGATATGGATCAATTTCTTAATTGCAATAACTGTGAGGGAACAACTGAATTCGATCTCATAGCTGAGAAGAAATTAGTTTGTGAAACATGCAAAATGCTCCTAAGGCAGGGTTTTACAGGCGATTAAATTTCTGAAAATAAA